CTCAAGTAGAAAGCAAATGTTTTGAGAATGATGATGGCAACAAATGTACAAATGTGCTTGACATAATGGATGGATGGATTGTGATAAGAGTTGTACAAACCGCCAATAAAATGATTTTAAAAAATGAATCATGGACTTAGACGTAGAAGGTAAAACTATACACGTTTAAGGGAAAAGAAAAGCACAGAAAACCTTTCAAAATATGTTGGCCCAACGAAGAGTTCTTTGATTTGGCACCTGTAGTTTGGTGCCTATTCACCACAAAGACACAGAGTCCAGGCTTTTGTGTGACAGCTTTCCACTTACAACCCTGATCTTCACAGTCAGAGAATCAGCCCTAGCTGCTGCAACAAACAACCCCAGATATCTCAGTTTAGCACAAGAAAGGTTTGTTTTTCATTTGTACAAAGTCCTCTGCAGGTTAGGCAACTCTCATGACACCCTGGAGGAAGAGTGAGGGTATGGCTTTATCTTCGCAGAAAAGCACTGGTGTTCAGGGTCACTGACCAGAAGCAGTCACGTGACCTTACAGCCCTGTTTCATTTCCAGTTGGGAATATTTGGTTTCTTCTGCCATTGGGCATCCTCTTTACTTATGCTGATACAATAAAATATAAATATATTGTTTCAATCTTTCCCATTCCTGAAAATGCAGCACTGTTAGGTATTAAATTGTGTCTTCCGCAAATAGTGTATTGAATCCCAACTCCTATGCCTATGCGTGTATTCCCTTTGGGGAACAGAGTTTTCTCTGTTAACGAGACTATCTCAGTATAAGGAGTGACCTAAGCCTAATCACTTCTGAGTGATGATGTTCTGAGCACCCTACACCATGAAGAAAATGCAAAGGGGGAAAGAACAAGGAAGGGAGGAAGGCCGGGCTATAAAAGTTGTGACAAATAACTTACCCCCGAACTGACAGCCGGCCCCTAGAACTGGTGCCTTGAATTTTGGGTTTCTAGCTTTTTAAACCAAAAAAATTAATTTCTGTTCATTAAGATCACTCATTTGGGGTATTTTGGTTAGAGCAACCTTAAGAAACACATTATATACATTGTGATAAACAGTGATGGCAGGCCACATCTCACCTCCCCTTTGGCCACAAGGCAAGGGTCAAACAATCCTCCATGCTCCATCCTTACCTATTGTGACACCAACTCTACATCTATGCTGGATTCGATGATTTCTCGCAGTGGCCGCACAGAGCTCAGACCATATTCACGATGAAGAGGGTTTATGAAGCACGTCAGCAGGCTGCCACACGTCAGGATCAGCCAACAGTAAGGATACAGTCATTGGCCCCCTCAGCCAGCAGCCAAGTCTCTGGTCCTCAGTTTCTTAATCACATGGTCCTTCTTGACCTTCACCTCCACTGGCCAGGGAGGTGGCCCACTGTCATTTTGGCCCTTAGTTCCACAGTCAGGTCAGATGAGATGGTGTCCCATAGACTCGGTGGTGCTCCTCAGAGCCTCTGTGGCACAGGCTATAATGAGTCTGGTCTTGGTGGCTTCAGCCACTTGAACGTGCTCTTCCAAGATTCTCAGG